TAGTCCCAAAAACAGATGAGCAGAGGACCGTGTGTACAGTATGCCTCCACTTGAGCAAAAAGTAATGATTTATGTATTGTGTATGTGTGTCATATTTGTGGAAAATGCACTAGACCTAGATTAATCTAATTACCTAGATTATTAGTTACATGGAGGAATAAGGCAGCGTGAGGTTACTGGGATTGGAGAGAGACAGGTCCTCTTCCCTTTGCATCATTTCAAAAATAATTTCAATATGAAATTTAAAGCATTAATAGTCTGTAAACACCCTTGACAGAACACGTTTTTGAGAGGTGCTTCAGTGAATATTCACATGTGCATGCATCCTGATGATGTGCAAGGAAGACTGAGGTGACAGACACTCCTACTGCCTAACCTGTGGCCAGGGCACTCTGCCACTCTTTGCAAAGCTGTCCCCAGCTTGGTACTCCCCTTCTCCTTCCTTGACTGCATATGCCTCGACTGCAATGGTCACCTGCAATGGTCACTCATGGGCTGCAAAGACCCCCTGGTCCCAGACGCTGGGCTCAGCAGCTCTGTTTTCTGCCTCACTCACGTTCTGAAGAAAGTACACGAGAAATGATACAGACAGGATGATATGCGTTTTTTTCTCTAAGGTTAAAGGTGAATTCTTTAAGACGCCAGAGCAAAATATCCTCAGCAAAAGCCAAAAACAATAAGAGCGGCTGTTCTTTTCCAAAACACTTAACAATTCACTGGGATATTTGTTGATATCATTCTGTCATTCTGTCTTCAGTCAATTTCAAGGGAAAACTGGTGAACATTTGTCCTCCAGGAAGTTCCTCTTTATCTCCCCTCCTCCCATCCTCTGCCCCCAACTCCCTTCATTTCCTCCCACTCGAAACCCCGTGGATAACACCCGTCTAATCGCTATTTTGCTGTCAGGCTGAAATGGGTCAAACCTCAGCCACTAGAGAAACAAGAGGCAGTTTGTTTGGTTTAGACGTGGGGTTGCACAAACTCTTGCTCACTGCCAGTTTTCAGATGCTAATATGTTATCCAGGAAGCACCCCTGCCGGGCGGGGGCCAGTTGCAGTCTCACTGGTGCCCAGGGTACAGCAAGGTACTGGGCCGACTGGGGTAAGCAGGCTCTCCCTCACTTCTGTGAATGACAGATGTGGCGAATTGGCAGCTCACAGGCCTTACTGGCACGTGGACAGCTTCGGTGTGAGGCACACAGTGTTTTTCCACATGCAATGTATGTATGTGCTGTTTAAAATCTGATATTTCCAAAGCCTGCCCCACCCACCCCCATCAATCATTGTGCTAGGCAAAGAAGATCATCTTTTAAAGTTTTTAGTTGCTTCTTGAGAACTATTATCAACGTTTGAATCCCTCAGAACACTTGTCACGGTTCTTTGCTAATCATAAGTGCTAAATTCATGTTAGCTAAAAGGAACTGAATTTATGCAAACTTTCACAAACGTACGAAGGTACTTCAAAAAGTTCATGGAAATATAAAATTGGAAGATAAAGGAATCTTTGCATGAACTTTTTGAAATATGCTTATATGTTATCTTGCCTTTCAAACTCTCTTCTTCCTTTAAGCATCACCTCATCGTACATTTTAATTCCCTGTGGTTTCCCAAAACATTTCTTTCTTTAGAAACACAGTAAAAGACCACTAAACATGAAAAGAGATGGGATAGAGACAGGACAATATGAAATAGTGACAAGTTCAAGTTATAGAATAATTGTTAAGAACTAGAGAACTTCAGTTTTTTTATACCACTCTCATAAATTAATAATTAAAGTTTGGAAAAGTTAAGATCTATGGCCAGCTGCTTTCATGAAAAAGTGAAGGTCATTTTTAATTAGCATATCAATTATTGGAATTCAGATGGATGCATGAAATTTTTGAAAATTCAACTCGGCATCCGTTTATTGAGCACTGACTGTTGTGCTCATTGTTGCCTGGAATCTACAATGACCAGGACAGAGCCATGTCCTTAGAAGAGCCCACTGTTCAAAGGAGGAGACAGAGACAGAAATGAAGAAACCAGGTCATGATCGTGGGCCGGCTGAGAGAGGATGGTTCTAAAGGGGCACCTGTGTATCCTCAGTTTCAAGATGGAGAATGATTATTATGGTGCACTTTCAAATTCCACCTGGTAGCTGAGTTCATGGTGGCTCGTGCACCCTGAAATATGCTTACAGCTTTCCTTTATTTTTTTTAATGGAGATAGAAAGAGGGTAACCTATTCCCAATGTGACTCAATGACATCCCATATCCAAAAACCAATGAGGTTCAAAAGGCTTCCGTATCTAAGTACACGTGCAAATATGCTTCATTAGTGCCACAATTCTCAGCAATCATTAGAATCATTCTTTACTTTCTCTGGGGTCTCAAAAAGTATAGTTCTGTTTTGATTAACAATATTGACTGATGAGAACAAGTCAGTGAGACTTGTTTTCCCTTGTCTCCTTATATAATAGACCAATAGCTACCTAATGTCCCAGGCAAGAAAAAAAAAATCAGTAAATTTATACATTGTTTTGTTTAAGCCTTCTACTTCCAAAGTAAATTTTTATGAATAACCTAAATATAACTGGGTCCCTTTAATTCTCATGGGCAGTCCCTTAACTATTTGTTTTCTGGCTACTATCTTCACTATCATGGAAGAATCTCTGACAGACTATTGAACACTAAATATAAATGTGAACACTAAACATAAAAATGCATCTTGTGTCAAGGTTTTCTGGGAGGCGATCCAGGACAAAGGCATGTTGTCTGAAACCTGAGGTCAACAGTTGCCTGGATTTACAAGGTGAGAGTAAGGGAAGCCAGTAGGAAGTTAAACAAGAAATCAGAAATGGATTTTGTTCTCAGGGTGCTATAGAAAGCACAAACTTCCCTCTAAGTCTTTGTCTTTTTCAATGCAGTACCCATTAGATTCTCATCATGCAGTTATTCAGTCTTTTTATTTCCACTTGCTTAGATGAGTCAGCGACGCTGTTCTCGCAAAACATCAGCACAGGAGGAGAAAACGGGAGAAGGGGAATGTGCACTGAGGCACCACCAAGGGGGGCACGTCTGTCTTCGATGCTCTTGCTACTCCCCTTCCAACTGCCTTCCGTTCCCACCTG